ACAAAAAACTACTTGTTTTCTTTATATATCATGTAACAAACTTAAAAAATTCTCATCTTGCTTATTTCTTTCAAGAAAACTACTTTCGCGCCCTCCTCCCACATGCAAATACAGTATTTTTTCCTCATTACCATCATCATAAGCATGGATGAATGGATTTTCTGCTTGGGCTGGTAAATTTTCAAGACAATTTTGCAAATTTAGTGCAGATCCACACCCTTGAGTCAGTGCTTCCAGCATATTGCTTGTGAGAACTCCCACAACCAGGTCTGTGTGCATAATGCAATGATGCAGCCATGCAAACTGCTGTATAATTTTTCTTCTGGAAAAAATGCAACATAAATCTGTTTGCTCCATAAAAATAACCATAAGAAGCCCATTTTCCTGCAACTTCCTAATCTTTCTACCTGTTGTTTTAGTGATGGAAGACTAAGCGGCTGGCTTTGCAAATGTGGAGGCTTAAATCATGCCTTCACAAGAAGTGAAGGAAGCTCAATCAGGAGAAGTTAAGTATCATTAAGAGAACTTAAGGTACATAGAAGCAGAGATTTATTTTGTGTAGTTTGCAGCTGGGACTACATCCCTCCTCTAAAGGCACATACAACCAACACTCCATCCCTCAGTGATTTAGTAATCCTTGCCTACAATCAGCATCTTGAAGATGCCTCTTCCTGCTCTCTTTTAGTCTCTTCTGACACCCAGACAGTGGAAGAGAATATGAATCTATGATGATATCCATTATCATAACAATGCATTTTAACTATCTGTCATGCTATACTTAAAATTCACACGCCTATACTACACTTCATAGTCTGTAATAAGAGTACAAAATAAAGTATTTTACATTAGAAAAATGCTGAACAGTTCATTTTAAAAATACAAACAAGACATGAGGTCTGACTTCACAGATGATCCCCCCTGCCTTGAGCAGGGGACTGGAGTAGATGACCTCCAGAGGTCCCTTCCAACCTGTATTAATCTATGATCCAAGCTGAATTTTTCAAGCTACAGCAGTTCTGCATAGTGAGCATATTACCTCAGCTGCTTAAGAACAAGAAATACCGTAAAAAGAAATAAGCTCTTTTGACAAAGGCAATAAAGAATTTACAAATGGAAAATTAGTTTTAACATACAACTTCTAAAAAAAACCAGAGGAAAAATCTCATAGGCTAGGTGTTTATTAGTCAGTTTCCAACGGGGAAAAAAAACCCCAAACACACCCAAATGACACAGGAATCGCATACTGCATACTTAGACCATCAAGCTGTTTCATTATTTCAGAGGTGGACTTGGGTGCAGTGTTGAAGATTCTGCACAACAGATGCTAAAAATCTATGATTTGAGGGTCTGTGAATGAAAGTGTTAGCATCATCGTGTTCAGAAGTGTGAAATAATTTCTTTTCATACTTGCATTCTTACTGGATACCTAGGTGCAGCCAAGCTACACACTAACAATCACCATCTGATGGAGACACAAGGCATTAAGAATAACTACATCGGACCAAACCAAAGATCCGTCTAGTCCTCTATTCATCTTTGATCACAGCCAAGCACATACAAGCAGGGAAGAAAAGGAACAGAGCAAGTACATATATTCATGCTGTCTTGAAATAACTCACAGTGTCTCGTGATGTGTACCTCAGGCAGCTCCTCGGCTAGCAATTTTGGTTTTGTACTTAACAAAATAACAGAAGAACGTGAATAAGGTTTGTCACAAGGACCTAAAAGGTTCCAAACCTCATCACTTTTAGGAAGACTTAATAATAATTGATAGTAAGGCTTCAGTAAGGTTTTTGACACTGACTCCTATAACATCCTCACAGAGAATCTGTTGATGTATGTGCTGGATAAGCAGACAGTGAGGTGGACTGAAAACTGGCTCAACAACCAGAGAGTGGAGATTAGTGGCACAAAGTCTTGCAGGTGGCCAGTAACTAGCAGTGGACCACAGGAATCTATACTGGGTCCAGTCCTGTTCAACATCTTCATTAATAACCTGGATGATTGGGCGGAGTGTCAAGTCTGCAGATAACACAAAACTGGGAGGAACGGCTGATACACTAGAAATGTGTTTTGCCATCCACATGGATTTCAGCAGGCTCAAGAAATACAGGAACTTCATGGAGTACAACAAGGAGAAGTTAAAAGTCCTGCACCTCGGCAGGCAGAAGCCCATGGTCCTCTGTATATTCTGGGGGCCAAAAAAGCAGCTTTGCAGACAAGAGTCTGGAGGCTCCTGATGAACTCCAAGTTGAATAAGAGACAGCTGTGTGCCCTTGTGGTAAAGAAGGCTGACAGTATCCTGGGCTGCATTCAGAGGAGCATTGCAGCAGGTCAAGGCAAGCAAACAAATAAGAAAAGCAAATAAAATCCCATGAGTACAAAAGAGTTGTCAGTTCAATCGTGTCACAGAGAACTGAGACTTGCAAAAAATGCATTATTCTTTTATCAGTCCATATAAGGGGGCATTTATGAACCTTAAGGTGTATATTAAGGCAAGATTTTCCAACCTTAGTGTTTTTCAGCTGAGCAGCTCTGATGTGATTAGTCCAAAAAAGCTGCAAAAGTCTACTTCTGTGAGGCACAAACATTTGGACAAAAGCTTCATAAATACGGTAACAATAATTCAGTATATTACAGTGTATCATAAATATACTATAGCAGTAGTCTAATCCTACCTTGCTGGTGGACACAAATCAAACTCTGTCACATAAACTGAATTTATAACATTGAAATCTTCCATGCTCTTCATATACAGATGAACTAAAATAATATCCTTCAGTTCCAATCCCTCTGAAGTCATATTAGCTGCAGGATAAAAATAATATAGCTGTTAAAGACAGAATATTTTAAATGAGTGTAGAAAGACAGTGTAGGCATCCTGGTTTTTTTCAGCAAAACCAGCTGGTAATAATCTAACAGTCATCTAAATATGACTGAAGGCTTTGCTACATACTACCTTTCCCCCATTTTTTCATTAAATTCTTTCTTATGTTACCTTTCCAAATATACAAAACCAGAATACAAATAAATTTATCCACGCTGAGCGGTGGTGAATTCTTGCTCCAAGAAAACATTAATTCATGATATGCATGTAAATATGTTACAGTCCGAATTCCTTGTATCCACAAGTTTTATTGTCCCGATTTTTTTTTTTATTTTCAGTCTATGACATCTAGGAATCTATAAAGGATTTTACATCACAAAAAAGAAACAGAACTGGAAGGGACAGTAAGAGGTCCTTTAGCGAATCACCATCTTCAAAGAAAAGATCAAATACTTATAGACTACTCCACAGGGATGCAATAATAATCTCCACATAAACAAAGAATTCTAAATGGCAGGACAGATGATAGGGAACAGAAGTGGCCACAGGAGAAATGAAGGAAAGATGAGAACAGAGGAAAGTTCAAGCAGACAGTTAAAGAAAAGATACTGGGAAGTCAAGATCATCAGAATGTGTATGCATACAAGATTCAAGTCATAACACTTAAGGAGAATGTATTACTCTGACATAGCCAACAGCGTATCAAGATACACAACCAGCTCCACGGTGTGGACCTCTCGTAACTCATGAGCCACAGAAACTAAATGGACTTTGCAAAATCTCTGCATATAGAGTGTAGGTAATAACAGAGTCCCACGTGACCTAACTTAAAAGAGTTACTTAAAGCTCTTCTCAGTGTAACTTTGGGGATTTTGTCCTTTAATGTTACAGTGTGCATCTGTATATACCTACATATTTGTTTTCCAGTGGACACATGCAAAAGCATAAACACAATCTCCGTTGCCTTGGTGAAAAACAAATACTTTTGGAATAAAACTTTCCCATGCTTTTAAAGATAGTTCAGGAATTGGCACACTTCCATAAAGGTTAGTTTGGTCACACCAATACTCAATTTTGCTCTAAATGTCTTGACTTTACCTAGCCATACTCCCATTCGTGTATCTGAAGAGGGGAATTCTCACTGGCAGAAAAGTAAATGTATGCTAAGTGATCCAAGAGATTATACAGTGTGCATATATATATACACACACACATACTTTATGAAGTCAACATACATCTCCAGAAATATTTGCTGAGAAATTAGCACACAATGATAATTCTGTCCAGAAATATGAATGTATTTGAACGCTGCCTGATAGTAATTATTAGGTCAATATCAGCTGCTATACCTCTAGTCAAGGAGGAAATAAAAATATTTTTCAAATTTCCAGCCAGCATATAGTCAAGAAGAAAGAGTTTTGGCCTGCAGTTAAACGTTCTGTAGCATTACATGGAATACTAGAGGGGAAAAAACCAAACAAAGAGAAGCCCTAACCCAAGGTCTAAATTTAAAATCCATAAGCCAATAAACTAGCTCTAATTTGTGGACGTGTAACAGTATTAGAGCCAAGTTGAAGAGAAAGAGATTTGGATAAATTCACAATTTGTAGCTTTATTTTAAATTTTCTTAAAGCAAGTAAAAGTACAATTCCCTTTTTCTCTTCATACATTAGAGGAATGACAGGAAGTGATTTCTCCCTAGCTTGTAAGCAGAATAAAATTGACTTCCCAAAGCACTCTATCTAGTACCAGTTACCAACCCATCACTTGGGTTCTTGACAAGTTCTCTTTCCCAAGGAGAGGGCTCTCACATAGCACATCCCGGGGAAACCATACAGCCTTTCTGTTGAATTTCAGACTGTTAAGAATTCCTAATAATTTATAAAATATGATCAGGTGAGACTCATTCCTACCTTGGCAGAATTGCCTAGAAAGAACTGACCCAAAAAGAAAACATTTGCTGAAATTCAGGATCTTCAGGCTGAGAGCCACAAAATACAGTATCCAAACTATCTACAGTAAGCAGCATTTTAGACTAAATTTTCATGTAATAAAAGTCTATGTAGTTCCCTTCAAGTCTATGAAGCTTTGCCACAGTACACCTGCACCAGAGCCGCTTTATATATAAAGCATCGCAATCTTTGTCATCATCAGATCATATCAACAGAAAGGTTTAACGAAAGAGTTTAAGAATATAAATGTAAACAGTAATGTACTGCACTCCCTCCTGTTCTTGGCTTCAGGGGAGAATACCATCCACTTTAGAGAACAACCATGTTCCATAACATAAGCAATAAATTTCCATTTCTGAATCCTTTTGGCAGCACTTATTCTCTTTAGAGGTGATTAAAAAAGTTAACGCAGCAAAGAGGTTAAAAGGACTGCGCTTACTCACAACCACCTTGCTGATTTCCAAGCAATCAAAAATTAGCTTAATGATCTTCTACAAAGTTAAATTCTTTGCTTCTGAAAAAAATTCTAGGGTTTCTTTTACATCCTACATTCAATCACGCTCAGTTGTACATGTACAAAATAAGATTTTAAAGGATATCTCACGTAAAGTCATGAACAAGAATACGAGCCTATACATTTAGACACTAAAAATTATTTCCATTTTTATTAATTAAAAGAAGGCTGCATGAATGCATTTTACTTAAAACTTAGAATGAAAAAAATTATGAACATTTTATTTTATATATCAGTATCTTGTAAGAGGGGGAAGAGTAAGGAACCTGGATTACATGATTCCCAAGACAACAATTCCTCCTTTACATTAAGAATATAAATGAGATTTACTGCAACTGACCTAATCCTGGATACCATAATGCTAGGTGCCTAGATGCTAGAAAACTTTATTTAAAATTATGGTAGCTATAAGAGTGCTTTATCAAGTATACAGTGTCCAGAGCACACACACACACTCACACACACAGTATATAATACAAGAAATCTATAAAGCAAGTTATAAAGTAAGTACTGTGGAAATAATGTTACAGTGATATGAACACTACTCTGGCTTTCTAGGGTCTTCAAAAGCCAGTCAGAATATGATGTGTTCAATATTAAAGCTGGCAGTCTTGATATCAATGATTCCAATTAAATGCAAAACGAGATGGCAAACTGACGACCAGAACATTTTAAGTTACAAAACCATATGACAATACAGATTCTTACTTAATACCACATTAAAAACAGAACAGTTAACAACAGATAATGTATTAACTGAATAAAGCACCTCGGAGAGAAGAAAATGCTTCTTTTGCTGCCTCTTGAGCATTTTGGCCTTTTGATGGCAAGAAGCAGGCAGTGATACCTGAAAACCACTGGTAACCACTCAGGGATTTTCCTGAACTTCCAAACATCTTAGCTATGGGAAATGAAGAACAGCACAATGATTATAACAATGAAAGATTTCAGATTAACCTAGAATGTATTTTGATTTTTTTATATAAGAATAACTTCTACAGAGAATAATAATAAGAATAAGCATAAGCACAAACTGTGAAAACATCTTTTGAAAGTATTTTCAGATAGATACAAACCAAGAACTTAGAAGTGTGCTGTTAACATAGCTTCCAAATGCTACTTGACAAATCCTTCTCCAACACTGCCTTCAGAAAATATGCCTGCAAGTAGCATTGAGCCGAGAATTTCAGTACTTTCTCTCCTTGTTTCCATTTGTGCTGACCTTTTACAATCTCTCTACCTGTTTTGATACAGACTTGGCACATAACATGACACCGAAAAGCTAAAATTCTCAAAACTATCTAAGTGACACAGGAACAGATTTTCAAATTTATATGCCAAATGTTAATGGAAGTTAGGTGTTTAACCTGGTTCTGATCATCTTAGAAAATTGAAAATGTGTTTAGACATTTTTTAACATCTCACCAGGCACTTATCCATATTCAAGAGTTTAAATACCATTCAATATCAAACACAATACCAAACATCTACAATAAAAAAACCCAAACAGATATCTACAAAATCAAAGACTACAGTATGGGTACAGCTGTGGTTAGACCTTTTAAACACAACTCAACCCTTCCACCCAAGTGATTATGTTAATTCCATATTAATGTGTTTTCTGAAAGAGACAGACAGAAAGAAAAAAATGAGCTATGTTACTTCTGTAAAATAACTCGAAATGCCTCATTGCTACAGATTGATTCCTATCCAAAATCCATATTTTAGTAGCATCTCTTTTTTCTCAGACTGGTTACTAAAGGTCATGAACATTCTTTTCAGGAGTGTTCTTACAGTAATAAACAATGTAACTCCACCACAGCATGAAATATTCAATATTATTTTTCTAATGAATACTGTGTAAGACTCACTGAAATCCAGAGAATTGTGTTTCAAAGACTTCCAGATGACTGGAGTGTTTTCCTGTGGTTCATCCTCTTCTGCTGAAGGGAAAATACCACCATCATCGCAGTTCACCTCACAAGAACAGCCGCTGACCACAAACGTACCTGAAGATGCCCCCTGCACAAGACAAACATTGTAAGATAAGCAAGTAAACAGCATGCCAAGCAGTACGAAATCAGCATATTTTATTCAAATTTTGGGTTTCAGTTACAAAAAACACTACAGCTCAATGGAGACATAAGCTTAGAACAACTCATGGAAGGACGTCAGGATATCTCCCTCTTCAGATTGCAAAACCCAGCAGAATACAATGAGGTCCCGTTGACATATCAGATGGAATGAAATGCAGACTTAGCAGTGAATAAGGACAACAAATATGAAAAAATGATGAGACTCAAGACAAGAGACAGAAAGAATACAATGATGAAGAAATGCTATTCTACAATTATATGCAGGACAACCATGTTTTCCAGAAACAGTGTAAATTAAGTGAAGAAAGGAATAAAAGTACAAAAGTAATAGTTTGATAATTAACATTGTCTCTAAACACATGAAACAGAGCGAAAAAATAACAAGAAAGTTTTCAACCCTGTGGAACCTTGAATGAATGCAGTCCACATAAAAGAAAATATCTCTCTTCTGGTCATCTCACAGAGACTATTGCTTCAATCACACTCACTATGCTTTGCAATGCTCAGAATTTTGAGATATGAAAATAGTATATCCTAAGATTAATACTTCAAAATAATTTCTTGGCAAGGATGGAAAATAATTCACTGTACCTTCTCTTCTTCCTAAATGCTTTCTTAGGCCAAGGAAGAGAAAACTATTCAGCTCCTCTTTTAATGCAAAATACACGGGCGGAGTATGTACTGACCAGTCTTCCAAAATTCTGTGTTCATTTTATTTTCAGTAAGTCATGTAAATACAGCACTTTACAGTTTTATTTATTTTTTTTGTTTTAGAGCAATCAGAGCCCCTACTCTATTCCATCTTATGTTCCAAGGCAGCCCAATCTGCAGACCATGTTGGCTTTGTGATCACTAGCTTGGCTAATACTACTTGTCTCCATCTAAAACCAACATGCATTATGACAGAATTTTTCCATAAATCTTAATCAAACCATCACTGCATGCCGTAACTCCAGATTCTATTGATTAATTTTGAGCTCAAAAGTCTCAAATTTCATGTAGTGTCTAAACCATGCTCTTTACCACAGGCTCCTTAACAACAAAATTCACAAAAATACTGATAAAGTCAAATAAAGCAAGACAAAAAGTTGACAAAATATAAAGTCTTTGTCACTCCTTAAATATGGATTAGAAACTACTGAATATTCTTTTAGATCACAAATTGGAATACTATCTATAGAATTTCCATGAAAAATATCTATGAAAGATAATTTTAACATTATATCTGTAGTCTGACTTTCTGCATTCTTTGTTTTTTTAACAATTAGACCTTATCTAGTGTCAAAATATGGTATATATTAAAAATTACTAATCAAATTTGAATATAGGCTTTTTTTAAAAAAGTAATTTTGTTGTATTTTCTTCTTTCCTTTGGAAAATAAAACACGCCTTATTGCAACTTCAAAAAGTTTTCTCTCGAAACCCAACCAAAAAAAAGGCAATAAATAAAAGGCAGAAAACTATAGCGTGCATCACAAGTCTGCAACGAGAAGCCAGCATTTACATCTACCTTTGACTTCATTAGAGAGAAAAAGAATCCAGATAAGTTAAAGCAGTATATTTGGAAATTGCCAGGAAAGGATAAATTACAAAAAGGTCATTACCTGTGAGAGGAAACTTGGCTCTGCTGCCTCTAAAAGGGCTCAAGGGGAGCTTTATAAGTACTGTAAACACTAAAGCTATGCTCTAAGAGGGGCTGATGATCTTCGACTGGACCTCTTTTTATTCAGTCCTCCAGGAAAGACATGAAAGTCAAGGCAATAATCTACTTTATGTGGATCAATTGTACATGAGAGGTTAAAAGAAGTCAGCTAAATATAACATAATAGTGCATGGATGAAAACTGTAATTTAGCACAAACACAACACGCATTCCGACATTACAATATACAAGCATCCAACAGCATCTAGACCATTTCTACTCATCGAATTACACCTTCAACTACTGCTGGCAGTTGATATATTTTGCTGTTACCCAGAGGGCTGCCTGATAGCCGCTAACCCTTCAGGTATGACTTAGAAAATAAAGAAGTAGGAAAACAAATCTGTAGTTGAAATAGATCTTAAGCTGGATTATGCTACAAGAACCAAGAAAATTCCATTTTTGCCTATTTTTGAATAAAGTTTCCAGTTTTTTTATCCATGAGACATTGCTTTATAGAAATACACAGACTGTACAGTAGCGTCAAGTGCTAAAAGTGCTATTATTTCCTTTTTGCAATTGTTGTTTTATAAAATTAGTTGCTTTCACTGGCTAATTTGTAATGGCCACCATGAAACAACCCATTCGCATTGTAGCATGGGCATCCACTAAGTACTACGGTAACATATACAGAGTTTGTACGTCTTGGTCCTACCTCTTCAGTAAGCGTTCATGGACGTGGTGATATGAATGATTTTATCACAATGCTTCTTTAGGTTTTGCTTTTACCATTACCAGGATTTTAACTTCAATATGCAGTAACAATCCATCATGAGTCAAAAAATACGTTAACAGGAAAGGGAGAAGTTCCAGCCTGCCAGTATAAAAGCCACTTTTTTTCTTGCTTTTGTTAAGCTTTACATAATTACCTTTAAGAGACATGCAGCTACAGATATCCTCTCTAGGTACTACTAGAGACCTGTAGCTTCTCTGCATTCCCTAACCTGAAAGACTGAATTTATACACTCTGCCAGCGAACATGAAAAGAGCACCTATTCCATTTTTATGCCATCTGTGAAAATTGTTCTTTCGACTCTGTTTCTAAACATGTTTTCTGCAAAATGTGCTTCATAAAAAATTCATGGGGATGTAGCGAGATTCACAGACTGTATCACAACTGGTTTGGTGTAACGTACAGAACTCCCCTGTAGCTTTGTAATGCGTTAATATTACAAATATCCCAAACTGATGCCACATGAAATTTTCATTTAATCTGGTCAGATCCCTTTTTCCTAAATATGTCAATAATTTATAATTTTTTAAGCTTATATCAATACAATTATACATCTGTGCTTACACACATATATAAACAGCTTTTGAATTGCAAAATTTTTGGAAATTACTAAGAAATACCAGAAATTCTCCAATGTTTCTTCCATATAGCAAAAACTATAAAAAAAGTTATAGACTACTGTTAATTTCAATGCCTATGATGTATCACAACGATTCATTCAAGGCTGACTCTCACAATGCTCCAAAACATAGGTAATCAATCACTTTCTGCAGCAGCACAGGTGCAGGCTACAGCAGAAGTATTAGGTGTGGGACCTGGCACTGCAAGAGCAGCAGGCTCAATGCCAGCCTAAGTAGAGCTGCCAGACTCTCTTTAGTAGCTATATTCAAATCTCACACAAATGCTGGTCTTCCATTCCTGTCGACAGAGAGAGTAATCTAGGAATTTAAAACTTAAAGTTATAGACTGCCACAAACAGACTAACTTTCCCTGAGTAATACTCTCTCCACTTTAAAAACAAAAAATCGAGCTTGCTATAATGACATTTTAATTAAATCTTACAGAACTTATTTTATCACATAACATTTTCATGTTACTTCACAGAAGCAATATATTTTCCCATTTGTTACACTGTTTCTCCCACACCCACTGTACATTGTGATACCAACCTAATTTTGGATCAGAGCCTGCATGCATGCATATGCTTAACTATATTCACATAACTCATGTCATTGATGCAAGTGCGCTCAGAAAGAAGTTAAGCAAATGCATGCGTCTTCCAAGATCCAAATTCTCCTGTTGAAAAAGCCTTGGAGCTAGGACTTTGACTGATAGAGCTGAAATTCCATGCAGTGGTCTTTTATGAAAACAACAGATTGCCTTCGTTAAAAGCTTACGTTTTCCTCTACAGAAACTGGTATAAAAACCTATCAAAACACAATTCCGAAACTGATAGTTATTCCAGTGTGCAGCTACGAGAATATACCAGGGCAGAGAGCTTAGGAAAAAAAAATAAAATAGAAAGACTATGACAACCTCTTTATTCTTTGTGGTGTACCTTGATAACAGAACTCCTTGAAATAAATACAACAAGAGAGACCACATACATCTCCTTGCATTATTTCAAGTACAATACACAGACACATAGGAAAGAAAGCCCTTTACTCTGATAGATTTTCAAAGTCTCTTTGTTACAAAAAGAAAACAAAGAATTCTCTTTTCTTAGAGAACTGGACTGAATCTGAAACCAAATGAAGTAGGAAAGAAAATCCTTTATTTATTATCTCAGAGTTTGAAATATATCAATATACATAAAAAAATTTGAAGTATTCATTGCAAAATTTTGAAAACATAACTACAAGGGTTATCTATATTCTTACATCACAGAAGGGAAACTAAAGGTTACATAAAGATATAACTAAAGGTTATAACTAAAATAATTCACGCCAGAAGGAACTGGACAGAAAGAGGCTACAAAGTTAAATCAAGTCTAACCTGCAGGATCATGTCCCTTTAGTTCACAAGGAATGTAGCTATCTCCCAAACACCTTTTCCTAGCGTTTTTAAAAGCACCTCCAAACTGATCTGTGCAATAGACTTGATATTTAGCGGCGGCATAACTGCTTGCACTTCTGAAATGTGATCCACCCAAACAGGTCCCGATCTTTTACAAACAGGAAAACAAATAAGCCTTGCAATATCAATTTATGATAGGTAAATATAATGCAATAGCACCCTACAAGAAAGAACAGAATCAGGCATGATTCCTGCATCTCTTACAGGTTACACAGGCTCCTTTCTTCTGCCAGGTGTAGAAAGAAAACAACACAACTCATTCTAATTCTGGACTACCCCTAACCTAAGAGGCTGCAGGTTCACAGCTTCTGTTGTTTGATGTATGTGTGCTCCTACTCACTTGAACTTGGGGAATAAAGTATCCCTTACTAAATGTGGGAAGGAGGAAATCCTAAAGCATGAATGATAGCTAATATGTTCACTACTCTCATCAGAAGTATGTTCCCATCAGCAGAAGCTCCAACAGCTTTAATTTCTGTTTCTGATCACTCAAAAGCCAACACAACAGAGTAACAGAACAGTATATTGTTACAAAAATAATAATGTTTCACAGGTTCATTGTGCTGTCAAAGTAAAAAAAAAAAAATGTTTCACAGTTGTATTTTTCCCTAATTGAAAACAGTCAAAATTAAATTTGTATTGAACACAAAATCCAACACACTTGATTTGAAGGTTCTGGAATATGCTTAAGAAATTGCCTCCCCCTCAAGAAAAAACATTCTGCACTTTAAATGTACAAAGCACCAGTCTTCTTGGCCAAGTAAAATATTGATGACACTAGGTTTCTCTATTATGTACATCACAGTGGTGACCTTGTTTTCTGCCTTGAAGTAAATGAGGCATTCCCAAATTTTGAGCATTAGTGTTTTATTAGCATTATTATATATTAATGATTTTGCAAAATGACTACAAAAAAGTTACCTTAAGCCATGCTTACCAAACGTCTAATAATGTTTTAATAATAAAACCTTATATTTATTTATCTCTTTGGCCTTTTATGTATCACTGGTAATAAAAGAGGGTGTGTTAAGAAAGCACTTTAGTTATTATGCAAAAACACATCTTGAAGTTGCATAGTAATGCATTAAACCAGAACAGTGAGTAAAATGTTATTTTTCCCTCAGGCACAAGGGTTCATTTTGCTGCCAGAAACAATCTAAAACAAACTTCTGCGCAGGCTTTGTAGTTAAACATGAAGAGATTTAGCTGAAGAAAATGCATTATAGAGGAGGAAAGACAGGAGACACTAAGGTGCACTACCTATAATTGTATAATGATTACAAAAGTAAATTCAAAGAATGTAAAATTAGCACCTGTGGCACATAACAAAGATAAAACAAATATACAATAAAAGTTAAAATATGTATAAGTCTCAGTTGAAATGATAAAAAACCTGATATCATAATACATATTAGAATTACATATCACTGTGTAGTCGAGTAACGGTTTCTACAAAGTGCTTACACAAGTGGCTACTTCTACACACTGTTCATAATGGAGTATTTTTTACCCAATTTTCAGTAAGCTCTTGAAAGCCTGAAACTAAAATTAGCTCTCCTTCTAAAGCAGTTTTTCCCTGCAGTGATTCATTAATGTAGGATTGGCTTTTAAGTGCCATACTACTAACTGATGCTGAAATTTTTTGTAGGGCTTGTAAGCACCAAACAGTGAGAAAAAAGTACAGTACTACAGGCACATCGATCTTGAAGGCATCTCTTTATCATTACGCAGTTAAACTGTGCTAACTTAGCAAACAAGTTACACTCTTGAAAGACTGACTGGTTCTCCACATTGATAGCTTCTTGAAAACCCAGCCTATTTTATCATGACATAAAATAATCTATAGCTGAAAGATTCTAATGCTTTTCCTTATGAGACAACCACTGCAGAAAATAAGACCCTTTTCCTTTTAACTATACAAGACATTAGTTTATATACCAAAATCCAGGGCAAGCCTCTGTAAACCTTTCCCCTTGGAGAGTCTGACAGCTTTGTCTACAATGGATTTGAAATATGATTTACTACAACACTGCTTGAAACTGTGAGGCTTTAACTAAATCTAAAACATCTACATAAGACGGGTAAAAGAGCTTCTGAACAGATAAAAGTAAGATCTTGATTCTTATACAAAATGTTATGCATTTTAATATGATTTTTTCTTGATTTATGTAAAGCTTAGTGTTTTTCATTTTCCCTAGCCTGTCACATTGTAGTGATGTATGGTGCATTTTAGCATCAAGTTTGCCATGAGTAATAAAGTCAGTGGCCCCAAAGAAATATTAATATGTTATCACTCTTCCGCACCATGCCCCGCTCCCAAATTTTCCTTTATTCAGCCTGTTTGGCTTTGCTTCACATAGTTATCCTTTCCACAGTCTCCCATACAAATATTTAATGTTTTATTTTTGAAAGAAATCCTAAACTAGAAATTGAGAGGATGAAATACAATTTACTTTTCAAGGCAAGAATGAGGCCATCATGGAAGAAAAACATACAGGTATTTTAGCTGTTTCAAACTATAAAATTTAAAAAAGAATGGGAAACAAAATGCATGATCTACCGAAAGAAATTCAGGAAATGTAGTCACTCGAGAGACATGAAATACAAAATACCAATATGACAACATTCTGTAACAATCCCTGCACCTAGAATTCAGTGATCTTCAAGGTGTAGAAGGAAGTAGGAAGACCTATAAAAAGACGATTGCAACAGTAGCAGTGTGATCATGAGACACTCTTCAAGAAAATACTAGCACTTACAGATGTTCAGGAGGAAAAGAAAAAAAATCATTTTATCAATAAAGTAATGAAAAGAAAAATAGAAAAGTGATGACAAATACTAAGAAAAATAACTTCTGGTTTTTACTTTCTTAGCTCTGCTCACATACAGTTTGCACTACTTAAACAACTTGGGTTCCTACTCTTGTGCTGCTGTTTCTGTGGAATCACAAGCTAAGAGTCGCCGTGAACTACTAAGGATTTCTTTAAGATCTCCGACCAGGATATTCTCCTCTACATGACTTGAAGTCATTTATCAGATGCATCTTTCATACCGAAGAGATAAAACAAACCCCAGTACATTTAAAACACAAGCACTTGCAGGTCAGCAAGTGTTTAAATCATCAATTTTTCATCAGAAACAGCAAAGAGATACCACCTCTGAGAACACCAACCCTGTTCATGCAGTTTCCTAATACAGCTGTGTTCTACAGTGTGGCGAGCTGTACTACACAGGTTGCACACGTGCTTGACCGAACCACGTTGGCAGAGGTTTCAAGATGAAAAATGCTACATGTATTTATTACCTCTGTTCATTCGACACAAGAAAAGCATTTGTGTTCAGTTTTTCCTTGTGGTAAGTTCTGAAATTCAACTAAATATGTATATTGTTATTTGAAAGTATACCCACAAAAGAATATATAGGTTCACTCCAAACTGCAGCAAAGTGACGTAGAAGAAACCATGCATAAGCTTTAAAGGAAGATGACATTTGCAATCTACTTGCCTTATTCTCCAGGTGTAATTTTAAAAAATGAAGGTAGGCCACAGGTGCAAATGCATCAGCAGAATGCACAACCATCTTGGCTGAATCTCTGAAATAAAAAATTCTTAGCATCAAATATTAGTACATAATTTTACATATCGACAACACTTAGTTGCTGTACAACACAGACTCCAAGGCAACGCATTGAAAATCGATTAATTTCTCATTTTGTTTTCACACAAATCAAGAAAAAAATAGTGTGCTACACAAAATCACGTTGTTGAACAACATACTGTCTTCACTAATTTTCAATTTTCACAAGGAATAAACTATACTTCCCGTGTGAGGAGGCGCGTGCAGGACACTTGACCAGCCACAGAACTGTGGATGAAACACAAAGAGTAAATTTATTTTCGTTACCTCACCAATGGGGGAATCCCCAAAGCAGCACCTCGGCAGATGCACACAAGTGGGGATGCAGGCACCGCAGAGCTTGGTCCATGCTAGGGGATGGCCCAACCTGCTGTTTTCGCCTGTGTTTCAGAGATTCATGCAGGTGTAGTTTATCCCCGCACTTTGATCTTTCCCACAGCAGGGCAGAAATCTTAAGCACGTTCGACAGGGTGCCGCTAAGTGTATCACAGGCCTGTGTTATCTAAACACAGATGTTCTACTCATCCAACACACAAGGCTGAACAGCAGTTAATATGATATATGTGTTTTTCGACACTCCAGCTGCAAGTCACTTGAGCATGTTTGCAATCCTCCTCACTAATCTTCCAATATTTTCCCAGACTTCCAAGACCAGTACTGAGAAATTCAGTTGGATGGAGTTTATGAAAGCAGAAATGACATTGTTTCATGTTCTAGAGACTAACATGCAAAGAAATCTTTTCATTTCATCAACAGACTTTTTAAAGTCCATGCTTGATAAATGCCTCTGAGATTAGTTCTTGAAGTATTACCAACACACCGTATTTCATGCTGAGAAACTGACTGATTCGACCATCTTGCATCTGATATCAAAAACTACTAGACACAACTTTTTAATGCCAAATGTGTTGGTAACAATGATAAACTTCCCGTGTGCTGATTCAAATTAGTTAATTTTAGTTCTCATTTTTACAGACACAATCTGTCACACTTTGATTCACAAGAGGCAGTATCTGCTATATCCATCTGCATGGTTTTGCTACTTAAGAAAAAGGTAGCTCTAGGAAACAAACATCAGAAGGTGAGAAACTCAAAGAAAACATAAGAGAAATTCAGACATAGTATAAGAAAATCAGAAAATTGTTTTAAGTACGGCTAAGGACATAGATAATCTTCCTAAAACCACAGTGCCCTTGACACCTTCACAGTATTCAATGAGATGAGACTGACAGATTTCTAGCAATACCACAAAAACCATGCAAATTACAAACGGATGAAGTTTGGGGCAGATTCCACTGACTTAACAAAGGTATAAAAATAACAGAAATATCTGTTCTATAAAATGTTTGGAGATTTAAAATAATAAAACTACTACAGTAATCATCATCACTAAATTGCACAATAATGATAAATAGCTTTATCACAAGAAGCTTCATTTATCTTTTAGTAAAATATTAAAGTATTTTGATAAATAAGCCCTCAGCTTGATTCTTGAGAGTTATCAAGATACTTTCCAATTAAAGTTCCCTTATTCTTTTCAGATATCTTAAAGATGGTCCCCTTAGATTCAAACTGCTTTTCAAATGACCATGGTGTCGTCTTATTCTAACAGAAATAGGTAGAAAATAACTTGCGAATTCGTAACAGGAATACATAATTAGAAATAATAAAGAAGACTTCAAGACTTCAGCAGTATCTGGTACCTGAGTATCCTCAGTATCTGAGGATATTCTCAATAAACTTTTCTTGCTTGTTGTACAAGTCATGTGCTAGGAAGTCTGCTAGTTTTCAGTGATGTATTAACTATTTAAAACCGAATTGATAGAAAAGTTTTTATCAGAAAGCAAAAACTAAAATTTAGGGGCCTTAAATGTATGTGTCTGTTGAACTTAAAGAATACTTATTAACTTTATAATTAACTCCAAAGTAAAAGAAGCAGTCCTGCTTGTATCCCTGCATGTTCCAATTCACCAGTGCAGCAGAACAGATGGTAGGCACTTATACCTACAATAACAGCTCAATAACATTAGAATTTTGGAGTACTTATTTGCTGCTCAAGAAGTATTGCAAATATTGAGATCTTTAGTATTTCTTCTCAATATGAAACACATTCCTATGACATACAGCTAACACATGGGTATTTGATGAGACTGTAATAGATACGTAGTTTTTATATGCCAAGATTTCTCAGCTGATAGGTCACAATAGTTATTATGTGGTGTCAAAACACACTATTACAACATATGCAAAAATACTTTTTCCTAACTAGTTTGTTTTCTGTCAGCCTCTCCAAACACACGTCATTGCTCTAACTGATAAAATTTACAGTCTTGTTCAATAGTAAATGTAAGGAATAGGTGGAAAACAGAACAGTTTTGTTCGCATCCAGTGATTGGTCACCAATTAAAAAAATAGGAAGTCCTGAACATTCATGTCATATCCAGCTTAGGAAATAGTAAAAAAATCACCCGAACCCACACAAAAAACAGATTAAAATGAAAAACAGTGATTTGAGAGCCCCTAATAGCTATATAAAAGCCTCATCATGCTCCAAGTTTGAATTTTGAGTAGGATCATGACCGTATCATGCGATGTATGCTTGATTATGACAGAAACACGAGAGCTTTGCTGAGAAATTTTGAGAAGACTTTAGTAAACAATGAAGAAAACTTGAAAAACTGTCCTAATTATTGAAATCATAATTATCTGATCTCTCAAATCTCCTTAAAGGTCTATGAAATATCTAATAAATGTAAAATAAAATGTAACATTTTCACAGGAAAAATATGACAAGTTAGAGTAAGTCTGAGAGTACAATCTGTGCACTCAGTGCATGATTATTTTTCCATGTTTACAGATTTGCTCTTAACTCTAAGCCTAGAATTACAAACCTAAACACAGAGCTAATGGTAGGGTACATAAATACAAAATTATACTTCTCAAATATTTCAAATATGCCAGTTTACCCTCAAAAAAAAAAGGCCTCCCCAACTATTCTATGTTCTGTAAATACATATGGGCACTTATCATAAGTAGATATTAGGTGGCATTCACACAGATGAGAAATGTATTTTTATGATTTGAAAAGGTGCCAATCAATTGCACTTTAAATGACAGTGTAAGAAGGACAGGCAATGCTCAGTATCTCTCAAATACTGCACATAAGAAAGCTGATAACTGAATTACAATAGTGTATGAGGGAAAATCAGATAAAAAACCATCTGACTTTTGGTTGAATATTTCAATTGTAAGATCTTGCCTTCACTCAATCTGCCATGCTTCCTTTGTGACGTATATTTTTAAACAAAGACTGAGAAGAATGGCAAGTATTCAGTTTATTATTTAAAAGGAAAATTCAACATACAGTCATTATATTAAAGAGAGTCCCACTCCTCCATAGTAAGTAACACATTAAGGCTATATGTTTCTTCTCCTGAACTAGCAGATTTCCTTCTTTTTCAAAAGATATACTATAACATATTTTGTCACAAGTTTCACGTGACAAAAGCATTGACTAGCAAAAACACTACCTGCAAGCAATGTTAAAAATGACAGGCATATTAGATTTTTTCCTGTTGTACTGGGTTTACATGGCAAGGGGTAGCAGGGGATGGTCTACATGGGTGGCCTCTATGAGACGAGACCTGTTGAGCCCATCAGCAACACTGGTGATGCCTCTGTGATATTTTTTAAAGGGTAAAAATGTTGTGCAGCAGCTGTGACAGGAGTGAAAGAAGTCCGTGCAGGAGCAGGTTTCCTGACAGGCACTGAGGCCCAGGGGAGCCCCATGCTGGAGCAGTCTGTTCCTCAAGGACTGTGCCCCAGGGAAAGGACCTGTGCTGGATCAGTTCTTGAAGAACCTCTCCATGGGAAAGAACCACCCTGAAGGACTGTAGCCCACAGAGTTGGGGAAAAGTGTGAAGAGAAAGGAGCAGCAGAGATGTGATGTTATGACCGGACCACAACCCCCATTCTCCTCCCTTGCACTCCTCAGCGGGGAGGATGTAGAAGAGGCAAGAACAAAGAAACTAAGTCAAGCCTGAAGCTAAGCAAAAGGTGGGGAAAGAAGGTGTTTTCAGTTTTGTCTTTGCTTCTTGCTATCCAACTCTATTTTTTTTTAATTGGCAATAAATCAGTTTTCCCCACGTTGAGCCTCAGTTGCCCATGACAGTAATTAGTGAGCCATCACCCTGTTCTTACCTTGACCTACAAGCTTTTTCATCTTATTTTCTCCCCCTGTCTTGCTGTCTAGCTACTCAGTTTCCGTTACAGAAATGTACATTTAGAACTAGTTGAGTAACTGTTCAGCAGTCTGCTGTGCCATGCATTTACTACCAAATAGTCACTGATTTATATAGTTGTTTTTTCCCTGTATTTTTTTGCATTTATTGTTAACTTTCATCATTATTTGTAGTGTCATCAAAAGAAACAAAGATAATTCAGCCAGACCACTTCTGTTTTAGCTTTTCCTAGTTGCTTGAATGGTCATTAAACCACTGATAGCGAGAAATACATTTAGAATATAAGATACTCCCAATTAAACTGATATCTGGTTGATCTCAAACCAAGGGCACAAAGTACTTTCCTAAAACTGTTTCTCCACCCTACACCAACCAAGAATGTCTCCTGAGATTTGACACAGTTTTCTCCAATCTGTTCTATGTGACAATAGCTTTGAAAAGGAGCGGTGGGAAATTATGCATCCAATGAACTCCCAGATTTAATCTGTAACATGAGAATCCTCAAAACAAAGAAAAGGAATGTAAATAATCAGCCAAACACATTTAAGTGTAAAAACTGATACAAGCACATTTATTCTCAGTTAAAATCTAGATATCCTTTTTGCTGAGAGTGTTGCAGTATAAACGCTGAATAGGTCACACGGCTGGTAGCATTACTCTAAATGACAAAGTTTCACAAAATTCTGCCTCTGACACCTACTGGAATTGATAAGTTTAACAGAAATCATACCAGACTTTAAGTGCAAAAATGAGTCGTGCTCTAGCAACAACTTCCTTTTTGCTAGAAGAGGCTGAACTCATTCTATTTGAGGTCGTATTGGCGAGTTCTGTCTTTCGTCCCCAAGTTTATTTGTGCTAAGATGTAGCCAAGCATCATACACACTTTATTTTAACTTCCTACTTAACTTTCCAACTCCTACTAATCAGCAGGCTGGCTCGTAACCTACGGCTTCTACCTAGCACCTGGTTCCCCTCAGTGAATCCTCTCTAAGAGTCTCAGTTCCTGGCCCATATATTCATAATTCCATCCAAGAACTTAAAACTAGTTTAAAGACTCTACATTATTAGTTTCTGAATCTTCTTACTAAAAAATTCCATAGCTTTCCAGCACGGAGGTATCTCCAGGCTCAAACTGCCTAGTTTTTTAGTTCAGTGCAGAAGTCCTATCTTCCAGTCAACCAACACAGCTCAGCAGACATCTGCCAGAGTAGCCACCAACCCTTTTACCAAGTTTGTCTATTGCTCTTCTCCCAAATGCCACGCAGTGGAACGGAATTAACTGCTCTTGGTTCTCTGGTCCTTATACAGACAGATCCCAGTCTTATAGAAAAATGATACAAAAAGACCTTCATCATGAAAGACTTAATCATGCCTGTACGTGTTCCACAATCTCAGCCTTCCCTAAAATGACTTAACATCACCAATAAATGATTACTAGTCTGTTTACTTGGCTAAGAAAAGGAACAGCAGTCAAAACATGAAGCAGGCAGGCTTAGCTATTTAACAGTCTAATAACGAACTCGCACCAAGACACAAACGTTTTAGCAATTTATGCAAAAGGAACAAACTACTAAGTGTAAATGAGATGGATCCATGCAAAGTTTGTATTTAAAATATCCTCCAGTAATTGAAGAAAAATGTTTATTGTTACGATTCTAAGCTGCTAGACTTAAAACGCACACACACATATACACAGTTAATGGAACCCACAGGCTACTGATGTGGCAGTTCATCAAATGTAGCTGTAATGAAAGATAAATATTACAGGCAATTCGCACTTCATGAGAGGATAAAAGTGTCAGTGTGTAGGTACCAGTTTTACTGCAGGCCATAATCAGCAAGTAAACGAAAGTGCAAATGTCTAAAAAGTTTATAGCCCTCTATGAAGGCCTCGTCTTGTCAGATATTGATTTAGGTTTTCAGAGGACTTTGCCAGTGTTAAACAAAGTGAGTGTTTGTGAACTTAGAGGACATGTTTTACCTCTGCCAACAAAAGTTGCCTCAAGCTAAATGTGAGTATGTTCCCATTGCTTTAATATAAGGAAATGGAAGAAACTGTTCCTTACACAACTATTTTCTTCTTAAATAGAGGGCAGTCCAGAGTGAATGTTTCATATTCTCCACCTTCTCCGCAAACATGGACTCCATATTTCTCAGAAAGCTACACAAAAGAGAAATTAAAATAAATATTACATTAAAGCAGCCTATTAAATGTATATTGCTGAAAATGTCAATGTGTACTTTCTAAAAAACTAGCCATTACAAAGCTGAAAAAAACCAAGTATCATATAGAGGTTCTTGATTTCTTCATATGTGTATTACAATGATCTAAAATGTGTTATAATTTAAGTAATACTGGTACTGGAACATTCAGATAAACAAATGAATTCCTAGTCCTTCTTCCTCAGTGGCCATGAAAGGTTGCTCACACTCCCATATTTGTCCATCTTTCTTTAGCATACGTAGTATACTTCTGTGAGAAACTTATACTGTAAATCAACAGAAGAAGTAGCACTTCACATAGAATGAACAGAATTTTTGGCAAAAGGTTCAAAAACTGTAGTTTGGTAAATTTTCACTCTTTCAAAAAATTCTAACAAAGAGAACTAGAGTTATCTAAGGCAAAAGCAAAAAAATAAAGTAAGATCTAAACAGGTAGCCATACGCTGTTTCCTTTATAAATTGTACTTAATATACTTTCTCAATCAACATATACATTTATGACTGTTCCTGAGCTCTGGATATCCCACTACAACAAATAATTACACAAACCAATACATTCAAAATAAGAGACATGATTCCCTTAATTATTCCCTGCTTTATAAACAAGCAGCTGTGGAGAAGGAACCAAAGTTCTTTTGCTGGAGTAAGGAGCACACAACGGCTGAATAGTTCACTAATTCTGTATTAACATACCGTACGGATAGGCAGTAGGAGGTAATCAAGAATCTGTACCACAACTGAGCATGGGGACACCCTCCTTTTCTCTGCAGGAGAAATTAATCTCCTCATCAGCAGACTATATTGCCTGCTGAAGTGTCTCAGCATTGGCTGCTTCAAGCCAAGCCTGTCCAGCGGTTTTCACATTAAGCAAGCACTAACATTATGTTACAACTAGTTCACCATAAGCTGAAGCAGTCCTCAACTCCATTACAAACCCCAATGTTATTATTGGGAGTATTTATTTAACCTCCTCATGCTTTTCCTTAAAAGAACAGATGCCCACCCATTATGCTTCTGCAGTCAAAGCAGCAACATGGGTCTCCAAAACACGTAGGAGATGGTTAGAAAAAGTCTGTCAAGGGGCAAGAAAGTAATCCCAAATCTGTGGTTTGTGTATTTCGGGGCAAGCATGAGACTGGGCTATTCATACATTGTAGGATCACTTTTTTATATGGTTACCAGAATTATTTCCGTAGCAAGTCTATTTGACACATTCAAATGGTACTGTTGTTTTATTGTTGAAGCTGAATGTGTAGTATGTTACAGTTCTTCTCTTTCAAAGTTTTTTTTATTTTAAAACTTCAAAGTGTATTTACAACTTCAGTCATCATCTTAGTTTAAAAAAAATCAAAATTAGGTGTGAAAGAAGAAAAGGAAATACAAGGAACTTGAATGTTTTCATAAAATCAAAGATTACAATTTAAATTTAAAATTCAGTTGAACAAAAGGCCTGAATCCTCTTCAGCCTTTATTTTGAAGAAAAGTATAAATGCCCTAAGAAAACAATACCTTGGTAACGTGTTCATTTAGTTGTCTGGTGGTGTAAAATCTTTTGGAACATACACTGAATCATTTTTCAATGTCTTGTTACAAGACATTGTTAATGACGTCCTTTCACATTTTCTTTTAAAGAAAAGGAACAGAAGAAAACCTTTAATCAAGTGCTCATTAAAAAATTACGCTCCTGACATAAAAGAGAACTCCATCTGTCAACAATGGCAACAAGGTTTCTATAGGACAAATACATCAAGAATAATTAATGTTGAAGCAACAAGAATGGACAACCTACAAAAACAGTTAGTCAAAACCTTTTACTCATTGTAGCTTTCACTGAAAAATAAAACCCTCCAAAAAAATCCCACAAAAAACACCAACAACAGAAAAACTATTTAAAAATGAGAGAAAACCAGAGAATATCTTTCTAAGTGTAACCTTTTCACAGTTAATACAAGAAGTGACTGTTTCAAAATTGACACTTCCGAGGTTGACACTCAGGATGCCATCCAGAGGGACCTGGACAAACCTGAGAAGTGGGCCCGAATGAACCTCATGAGGTTAAACATGTCCCTGTGCAAGGTCCGGCAAGGTCAGGGCAGTCCCCAGCATGAGGCTGGAGACTGAAGTGTCTGAAGGCAGCCCCACTGAGAAGGACTTTGGGTTACTGGTAAATGAAAAGCTGGACGTGAGCTGGCACCGTGTGACGGCTGTATCCTGGGCGGCATCAAAAGCAGCGTGGCCAGCAGGTTAAGGGAGGTGGTTCTCCTCCTCTACTCTCCTCTCTGGTTAGACACCACCTGTAGTGCTGTGTTCAGCTCCAGGGCCCCCAACATAAGGACTAAGGACGTGATCCTGCTGGAGCAGGTCCAGAAGAGGCATCAGGCAGCAGAATGACATTAGAACTCTGCCTTTTAGTCATTTAGAATATTAACATTTTTGAATACAACATATTTTGTTTTGCAAGTTGGATGCTACTTTCATGACAATACGACAGCTTAGACTAATATAAATTTTATGATTGCTAAATCCGCTGTCTAGTTCAGATGAGCCAGAAAACAGCAAATCTACAAATGACACTTAAGTAAAAATGCAAGTCCAATTCAAAATCCAAAAGAACTTTATGATGACAACATCTTCTAAATTATACAAAATCAATCTTAACTGATATACACAATGAGATACAAGGTATAGGTATATAAACGATCAGCCCAAACCTTACCCAAAGAGTAGTGTCTTCCTACCTTAGGAATGAAACACAAGGATTAAAGCTGACTTCCTCATTTAAGTTTAGTAATCAAAGATCATGAATTTAAGTCCTTCCTATTTCAAGTGAAGGCTTTGTTCCCAGACAAAAATTGTAATGCTCAGTGAATTCCCTATAACTACAGAAACTTTATATCAGGAACTACTTCTAAGGCAAGCATGCAAATGACTATTTTCCTATTGTCTATTACAGAGACAGAAGTACAGACAAACATAACTATAATATGCATTTAGCATTCTATTAATAAATTCTACAGAGAGTGTGAGCAGCCCCTGAGATTTGGCAAGATGCCAACGAATTCTTTAATGTAAAAAGCTAGGCCTCTTGGTATTAGGAAACAGTGGGACACGAGAGCAATTTAATAATTCAGCAATTATGTAGCAACCATTCATCAATAATTAATCAAAGACCTATCATTTAGAAAAAAGCAATAATTCAAGAACTTTCCTTCCCACAATGCCAATGTCCTGAGCCAGTGAAATTCACCACTGATAAAAGTATGGGTTGCAGATCATCACTGTACTGCTAAATTCAATATTCTGTATAAAGTCAGAAAAAAATTTGCAAAATTAAAGCAAAGTTTTTCCCACTCAACACCCCTCCATTCTTCTTTTGCTACAGCAGCAAAACCATCTCACCTTTATGTCAGTAATTATTGGTTTATATGTACAACAGAAATGATAAACTAAATCAGAAGATTGAATATTTTGGTGACAGTATATTTTTCCAGTATCCCCAGACTTAGCAAATATCTACTATTTTGCTTATCTTTATATCACCCCATACAACAGAACATCTGCTACGAACCAATATCATATATACAGCTAATGTATACTTATTTTTGTGTACTCCTACTTTATATCTTTGCTACTGCTTTTATATTCATACTACAAGTGTTTAGGAAGTTTTTTATTTCCCTGCTTCCCTTCTTTCCCTCTCTCTGGGGCAGGAGAAAACACCTCTCCTTCCCACTCCCTAGTACTCTTGAATCATTGATGTAATTGAGATGATCTAAACAAGAAGCGAGACTTACAAAGAGAGATAATGAAGGGGATTTTAGATCAGTGCACTTTTGGAGGGTGACATGAAGGGGAGAAAGTTTCTGGGTGAATTCTCCAGCTCTGAAGTAGAAGAAAAAACTTCAAGCTATCTTCTTGTCTTAACAATATCAAGTTAATCTCAAGATATAACTCCTACTTAACTTCTTTATCTTTCAGTAGAACAACAACAACAACAAAATAATATTTTAAAGTCCCTAAATTCTGGCTACCTTTTAAATTTTTTTTTCTCTTCTGCAAGTTTACCATATCCCTAATTGTTCCAGAAAAACTATTGCAAAGCCAGGCTGAACAGTTTAACTACCCAGATCAACAAAAACCAGTATTTTAGGCAATGGTTTTGTGCAAATTTAGACAGCTTACACCGATAAAAGTTATACCAAGACTCTCTTAATAGACAAACATGCAAATAATTGTGAGTTTTTAAGAGGCTTGAGGAAACCAAACTGTGGTAAACCGGCTTTGTCACAGACACTATATGTAAACACATTTTCAGAGCTGTTAAATTGTACTTAGCTTGATGTTTGATGCTTCTATCTCAAACTCAAAGAAGACTCGGGTACAAAATCTGGTCCTTTTTTTTCCCCTACTTAATTTTTCTTTAAATTAATCTATTAGCTCTGCCTGCAAGGATTTTCCTGCTTTGAGGACTACATAACCCTTTGCACAGAATTAAGTACATCCTCTGGAATGAACCTCTTATTCCATTTTTGAAATGTGCAGAAAATGGTAGGAAAACTTCAGAGAGGTATATCTGTGGGGAAACTTTGCATCACCTACGATTTTGTCACTATCATTTCTTGCTGTCAAAGTCTGTAACTTGCATGCAATTATTCAGCTTTATCATATTGATATATGAGTTAGTATCCCCTTAATACCAAGGTTTCTTGTGAACTACTCCCAGAAAGAACGTTTTTCATATTGAAAGTGCATATCATAGGCTTATACTGTATGTAAAGAGATAAGCCTTGGGTTAGCACCTAATTTCTGAAAGTAACTAAGTAATTTTTTGATTATTTTTTCTTAATTTCTGCCTGTGTTACATTTTAATTGCAGCTTTACCTGTAGAAATATCCTTTAAGTAATACACACCTCCAAAAGATAAGGCTCCATTTGATCCAGTGATTTTCCTAGATGCTTATCAGGATCTAAACCTAAATAAAAAAGAAAAATTGTAAAGGTATTTTTTATAAATTACTCATTACATCAAGAAAGGCTTCTTTTTTTTCCCTTTAAATACAGAATGTCACCCTTGGAAACTAGTCCTACCGCATCTAAAATCATTTATTTTCTAAAGAAAACACATGTAGCCAGAATTTTCTCTTATCTCCTCTGGATAAATGTTTCCACATTTATGAAAAAATAAAGCAAATTACCTTTTCACCATGTGTCCACTGGAAAAGCTGTTGTTTTCCTTTCTTAGGAACTTCACTAACCAACGAAATAAACATGCAGGTCCACAATAATAAAACTACTACACAGATATTACTACTTTCAGTCAGAAAGTACCTTTGTAGATACTAGTTAAATTAAAATGCAGGTGAATTTTTTTAGGGGTCCTGCATATTACTGGAAGGGACACAGACTGTTTTCCATAATAAAAACTTTTATACTAAATCACATTCTGTGTGTGTGTGAATTACAGAAAAAAAAGATATGAATTAAAAAAGATGGAGATATAAAGAAGACTATGACTTACAGAATGTATTGAATGTTGTACCTCTTGATCCATCACAAAATATTCTGTATCATGTCTACATTTTGATTAATTTTTCTGGGTTAAAACGTAAGTCCTATTATCATCTGATAATCCTTAAAATGCCTCTCTGTTTCTGTTTTAGCTTTTTGATTTTGTGCGTTTTGCCAACTCATAGCTGTTAAACGGTCACTTCTCAGAAATAAATCAAATAATTGGCAGAAATAAGTACTGGGATAAGAAAAAATCCAGGAACAACTGTTTCAAGAGCTGACATGTTCACCCAAATAAATATCCCAGCTGGATTTGGTCAAAAGGTCTTAACATACAAAGAAAATAAGTAAAAACAGAAGTATGACTTCTGAAAGCGAAGGAACACTGGAAAATTTTCAGTGATCGCATTTTTTGCCACTCTTAATTATTGTGGTTTGAGGGGTTTTTGTACTGATCGCAATACTTGTTTATTTTCTCCTGATCTACTGCTTTATACAATAATGTGTATCATTAAAGATCTACCAACAGAATGACTCAATTTAGAAGCAATTTCTATAGCCTGTCTCTTGCTAAGCACTTCAGAGCGCTGATGATGAAAGCCATTATATAAATGCATGGTATACTATTATATAAAGCCGTCATTGAGTTCAAATAGCTGATAGGCCTTTTAATTTTTACAATGATGGTTTTGGTATATTTAAACTCCTATGAAATCAAAACAAGTAAAAGTGAATGAGATCTCAAAACATTAATAAAGTTTTTCAATATTTCATTAAAGCACACTAAAAATTATCTAGGGGAACACTTTAAAACTGCTTAATAATTAAAGTGGAAGAGTACTGAGGTTTCTTCCTCTATTCTTTTTTGGTATTGGTTTATCGCTCTTTAATAACAGAGTAAAAATGTGTGTTTCTATAAGATAGATAATTTATGCTTGTGGAAACCATTCTGAAACATCTTAATTTCATTTCAATAGTTCCAATGATTCTGTGATGTCTTCCAAGTTACATCAGCTTAGTATTATGTCCTTCATTTTAACACAACAGGTATTAGGCTAAACAAGTATTTTCACTTAAATAAATAATAACGAGTACCATAATGCAGTACTTATTTCACACATTTACATTAATATTTGTCATTAACATAATTACTTTACTAAGAAAAGCAACCACTCTGCTTGATAAAACCAAATTGGTCTCCTTTAAATTAAATTCAAGAGCTACTCTACAAACATGTGAGATGGGAAAAAAAAGGCAGAACCAGACTCACTAACATACTATTTTGTCACAATTTGTATTAAGAAGGATATATGTTCTGCCTCCTAATGAACACAAAACAACAATTTAAAAGAAACTAATAAATAAATAATATACCAAATATAAATAAATTGCCTATATATACACGATAGGTAAACTCTCTAATAACTACCTACATATATGCGAAAATCTGTGAAAGTACAATGTACCCTTTCTGCTTCCCAGTAGAAATCTACTTTTGGATAGCTCATCTTTCTTTTGTACTACTTTAGTTTCCAGTATGTTTGTACTGTGAGTGAATAGAGATCGTCTGTTAAAGGCACCAGGAACAAATGTAACCTGTAATGTGCAGAACCAGTAATCTACATCTCAAATCTATAATGGTCTGCACGTATAGATGAAGCTGTAGGTATACTGCTACTAACAGTGTAAAAAAGTTATCTATAACAATACTTACAAAAAAGTTAATAGAAATCTATACTTTTATTTGGTATGTTTTTATTTAAGCAAGGCAGGAGACTGATTCAGATTCTTAAAACAACTTAGCCAAAAAAAGAAAAGCAATGTGCTGTAAATTTTTAGTAATTTCCATTTAACCACGTCCTCCAGATTTCCCCTCCACGAAACTAGACGTGAAGAAAGTTGGATGAGTGGATAAACCAACAACAAGGTCCAAGGCCTGGACAACTGTATGTAGAATTAAGAAATTAATTAGGAAAGGAACTATAATTTGCAGCCCTGACATCTATTTTACTTAACTTGCATGTATCAATGGGAAGCAATTACAATTCAATTAAAATACTCATTTTTATTACTTTACTGACTGACCTTGAAGTTAATGCCTGTTTTATTTAATTGCGTCATCTATGAATAAATGTTAACCCTAGAGTGTTATGGCCCATTATTTTCAATGCATTTTTAACTCCCCAACTAAACTACATCAGTCAATTTATTACGTGCTGTCAAAAGAGCAAGTGAGGCTTTATTTCTTTGAGATAGATCAGTACATGATGACAGAAACATCTCAAAAGATTTGATAATGTTGTTTTTTAACAGTGCTTAGTAAAACAAAATGTGCTCTCCACTCCAGTTTTGTGGCCTAGTTTTACTGTAAAATCAGTACGTGATAGCACAAATGGTATAATCACTTCAAAGTGATTTCTGCTCCATCTGCAATTCCTGATAAATCCATTGACAGGAGCAGAACTCCTTCCTGCAGATACCAACTATGGCTGCAGAGCCCTCTTACACACAGACACAAGACAAGTGCTGTAGAGACCTGCAGCAAGGCCAGAAGACCGGGGCAGAAAATCAGAGCTTCAGAGCTGTAGTGGAAAAAATGTACCAAAGAACATTACAAAAAGGCACTCGATTCGTGTTAAGTAATGTAAAAGAACTGCATCTTAAATGGCTTGCCTTGTACACACTCATTAGTGTAGCACAAAGACCTCACCTGAGGGGTAACTTCCTGATAGTACTTGCATTTATCAAGACCATTAGAAAATCAAGCTCCATTTTCACAGCCAATAAAACCCACGTTCTCACTAACAAAATCACTTTTTACACATTGAAAATTTTAAAATAGTCTTGATTTAGAACTTTTTTTAATATTAAAATGTCTATTTTGACCTCTTAGTGTAACACTGAAATAAATCATAATCATTGGTTTTAAGAAATGGTGAAATATAAAGTTCTTCTCAGAGCTACACTGAATCAAACTCTAATCCATAATACATGAATACATTGTAAAAGAACACACACTCATAAAATGAGTTAGCTTATCAACAGATAATATAGGGAAGAACTTCTGTCTCTTCCTGACTACCTCTTTTCAACTTCGTTTTCAGAAAGAAAACAGCATTAACGAGGTGATGGGACCTTTATGGTACAGAAATATGGAGAGAAAGCTAAAAAGTATAATATGTAGATGCAACCACTTATCTTAGAATTGAAACAGTTTTTGAAGGTAAAATCATCTACTTGAAATGAAAAGGCCGATACACTAAAGTATTAGTTGGTAAAGCAGGTTTACTCTGCAGGAATGTCAGATACCCTTCATGATGTAGGAGTGCACCTGCCACAGAGATATTAACACACTGTAAATCTATACCTTAAATTGCCTTGAGCTAAATTATTCCTGGTGTCATATTTAGCTTCATTTCTATGAAGAGTTGGAAAGTGAACTTTTTGTCTGGTAGCATAACTTGACGGGTTCATAACTGATTCTTAATTTCCTCATAACTTTCACACTTGAAAGGCTGTATAACAATGGTGAACTCGACAGACTCCTTGAATTTCCTTTCCCAAAATAAATAAAAAAAAATTTAAAACCTGCTTAATTTTCACATAAAAATGCAGGAAAGAAAAGTGCAATAATTACTGGATATTACTCCACCTCTAAAAGATTTTATGTGATTATACTTCTACTTTATTTTATAAAGCAGAAAAATTCATGCAACTTGATTATGTGCCTAATTCTTTTTATTTTTTTTGCTTTTTTGGGTGGGATAATTTATCCACTGTGGGAATAGTACAGGGATGGAATCTGAAGGTATAGTAACTCTTTTCAAGCTAAGTGGTGAATATATAATCCCACAGTGGCTCTAGCATATATGTTTCCAGGGCAGTTTATTTACAGTAAGGGTTTATCTTTGTTCTTGTAGGTTCATCAAATATTTTCTAAACTAGGTTAGTCAGGTGTCATCAAATTTTAGAATTCTAAAAGGTAAAAGGCTCTAAAATTCTTAATGCCAGCAATGTTAATTTTATCTGTAATCTTTCATGATTTTTTTAACATTATTTTTGTTCTAGTTACACATAGAATTCAAAGCAAGTGAGCTGTACCACTTCATAAACAGAAACTTCAATAAATCTTCGAAGAAATTTTGTATTGTTTCATCAGATAAGGTAATACTTTCATGCAGATACTTTTAAAACTCTAAAATGTTTACAGTTTAGAAAGACATTGTGGAAGAACTGTTTAATAACAGCATTGAACTGCTTTTAATAAAATCCAATACTCCACACAGCAACTGCTTCAATTTTCATTGACAATACTGCCCCAGTCAACTTCCTCCTAGGACCTTCAATGGACTTCAGAGACTTAAAGCAAAAGTTTTCACAGGTTCAGTTCATATAGTCCCATATGTACAACCTTCCTAATGTAAATCTGTTTTCAGTGTTTTTAACTTCAGCGTACTGAAATGTT